CCCCAAAACCCCAAAACCCCAAAACCCCGTATTAAGTCTCCAGCACTGAATTAATAATACAATTTAAAGAAAATATTATTTTCTCTATCATGGGACATGAAAACAGTTGTTGTGTCACTAAAAGGCAATCTCCAGAACCTATAGACTCAGAATCTTGCCTTAGCAACAAAAATAAAGGTAAGTTCTAAATAAAATCTCTCCAAGACCACTCTCCACTCTCCTACCAACAATCTTTCCTCAAATAAACCTGCTATTTCAATGAAAAACCTATCAAGATAACTCAATAAACCTCTCTTGTCCCTCTCACCACCTACTAAAATTCTCTGCTAAACACTACATTTGAATACTCTCCCAGTGAAAGCTAAAAATCTAACAGGGGAGTAGGTCAGAAACTAGTTGGCAAAATAGCCCCAAAAATTCCTGTCTTACCATAAATTTTATGTTTATTAGAGAGAATGTATCTTGAAAGCTGAATAAATTAAATCTTAATACTTAGACTGTATATATCATAATTAAATTGCTTTCTGGCTTTCCTAAAAGAAATTGCAGTATTTTTAAATTGAACAATTCTCAAGAGGAGCTTTGTGACATTTTAAAGCCAGAACAGACATAAAACAGCACTCTTGTGACACAAATCGTACTTGGATTTCCTCGTTGACCATATTAATTAAGGTTAGAAAATATTCAGTTTCCCTATTTTTTCACATAAAATGACCCAAATAAAATTTAGGCAGATTAATTATAAATTCTTTTGGGATTTAGTACCCATTAAAAATACTATTGCCTTCTAATGTTCAATTATTAAGAATGACTATCTGCAAGGGTAGACAAAGAGAATAACCTGTTTAGATAAAAGGCACTTATGTTTAGTTATTCTTCCATAATCTAAGTGCCAAGATATTAAATTTCATTAAACTTATTTGGTGCTTCACCGATATTGTAAGAAAAAGAGGGAGATGAAGGAGTCATCTAATCAATTCAAAACAATTGAGATTACAGCTTGTTTGAAATAAAAATTTATAATAGCAACTTTCAGTCTGCATTTGTATACAGTTTATTGTGTATTCCCAGAACTTAGGATAAGTTTTTATTTTAAGATTTCAGTTTATTTGATAATTCATAAAATCTAATAAATATTACCATAAACTCTTCTGGGAGCTTTTTCTTATATATCAATAAAAACATATTATCTCGAGCATCTTTCTCTACCTTCAGGCAACATTCCTCATTATTTTTCTTTCTCCAGCCGACTCATTCCGATCAGTAAATTCATAATTCAATCAATAGTTCTTCATTCTACTCTTGCATAAGCATTTCAGGTTCACCAACATATTTTGTGAATTATCAGGAGTTCTGTTACTAGATCTCAGTCGATACCACCAGTGCTCATTAGAATCTTTATTGTTTGCCTTGGGTCTCTTTTCCAATAAGCATAACCAAGTCTCTTTGCCTTCCTACTTTGTGCGAGTTTGTATGGTAGGTTAGAATCGATTCAAACTTTATTATTAATCTGCAATTTTTGGATTGGTCTTTGCTAATCTGGTCATCCAAAATTGCCACTAACTTAAGAGGAGCTCTTGTTATCAAAGGATTAGCTTGCAATCAAATATTTAGAGATGCAAACATTTCTACATTGAAACTTGGCAATCATTGTTAACCCACTTTCTTTGTAATGGATGGGATAAGTGGGAAAAGATGCACTTTTATAAATATCTTCACTCTATGAAATTAACAGTAATGCTTGTTTTATGTTTGACACTGAAACTATATCTCAAATGCTAGCTTTAAAACTAGGCTTATGAGGATTTATTATCTGGGATTACCAAGTTTTTACAAACTCCCAAGTTCTCTTCTTCTCAATCGAAATTTCTTACACAAAATATCTTTTATTTTAAAAGCTCTCTTTGTTTTTAACCCTCCTTTTAGCTGGAGTATCAAGAGATCAAAAATGAACTAAAAACAAAAGCTCCGCTCAAGAAATCAAAGTATTAAGCCTCATAACTGTATAGAAAACTAAAAGTGTGGGCAACTCAAAACTAAACCAGTCTCATTATAATGCACAGGTGCGCCATTTTATAATTATTCTCTAGCATCATTTGAAAAGAAAGAAATTTGGGCATTTCAACTCAAAGGTCTCGTCAAAAAGGAACTTGTATGGTGCAAGCAAGAAACAGAAATAAGTACAATTCCGCCATTGAGAAACAAAGTACTTCATTTGGTCTAATATTTAGCTTCCAAGAAAGATATGCTGGGCAAGAAAGTAGGAGAGAGCTCTTTCTGAACCCCTGCTAAAACTGAAAGCTCTAAGATGAAGTCAAGTCCAAATAACAGTTTTTACAGTAAGCAAAAATTCAACATTGCTCTTTGAATTACTGTTTTTGCAAGGATTCATGTGATCTTTGATTTATAGTGACTTGTAAGACCCAAAATTTTACGAGAAAAACTAGCATAATTAGCACAGATATCATTTATGAAGAAATGGCAGACGAATTTGAGAAAATGAGAGAGAGGTACAGCTACAAGAAGTTTTCTTCTGGTGCCAAACTTCCCAAGCGTGCATCTACAATGTACACTAAGATAGACGGAAAGAGAGCTGTTTGTTGCAACAATGCAGCTGTTGAGAACTTTAAACTGAGATAAATATCTAATCCATATCTTAACATTCTGGTACTAAAATATAATGATCAAATCTAAGCACCAGCCCTTGATCTTTTGTATGAGAATTTTACCATTCCAATAACTTTAAGGACAGAAAACAGTATCAACTTTTGGTGCAATTTGAGCTATAGATATTTTAAAGCATTAATAATTTAATGCGTTTTGCTAAACTCAATAGGAGATAGTATTCTGGGGTTTTGGGGTTTTGGGGTTTTGGGG